GGTGCAAGACCTGCAGTACACGTTGTGCTAAAAGGAGACCCAAGCATACGGGACGTGCTCCAATGAAGTTATATGAAGTTGGCGCACCAATGGAAAGAGTAGCTATTGACATTGCTGGTCCATTGCCCCAAACTCATATTGGAAACAGGTACATTTGTGTGGTGATGGATTATTTCACCAAGTGACCTGAGGCATATGCAACTGTAGCTTCGGCTATTAGTGATTTCTTCCTCAGATTTGGTATGCCATACGAACTGCATTCAGATCAAGGCCGTAACTTTGAATTAGCTGTGTTCCATGAATGTTGCAAGTTGTTTGGCATACGAAAAACCAGGATAACGCCACTTCACCCATAGTCTGATGGGATGGTAGAAAAGTACAATTGGACACTTGGACAGGAATTGGCAAAGTTTTGTAATAGCCGCCAAGATGACTGGGATGTCTTACTCCCTCCACTGTTGATGGCCTATAGAACAGCAGAGCATGAAGCCACTGGATACACTCCAGCAAAGCTGATGTTTGGTCGGGAACTTCGGTTGCCAGTGGATCTGTTAATAGGACGCCCACCTTGTGAAGAGTTGCCTGAGAATGTGTCGGAGTTTGTGGAAGTGTTATCGGAAAGGATGGATAATATTCACCATCAAGTGCGTTAAACTTGAAAATGTCTACAGATTCCATGAAGCTATGTTATGATAAGAGATCTACTAAAGTCAGCTTTGTACCAGGAGACAACTTGTGGTTGTATAATCTCAGGAAGACGAAAGGGAAGTCTCCTAAGTTGTCTTCTCCATGGGAAGGCCCATATGACATAGTGGATCGTCTCTCAGACGTCATTTTCCGAATAAAATGTGGTCGGTGAGGTAAGCCAAAGGTGGTGCATGCCAACAGGCTTTGGCGTTATCACGGTCCAGGACATTTCAGTTGGAACGAAGTAAACAACGGAACAAATGACGCTGCTGAAGACGTGTCATCTGGAAAATCCACTGTCGAAGAAGATACTCTATCCGGTTTTCAGAAGGAAAACAGTGAAGCCGCTAATGAAGTTACTACCAATGATGTGACTCTTACCGATAATGGGACATTTCCTAATGGAGCAGATGAA